ACATGTCAAAAGCCTAGAGAGGCCAGAAGGAGACCTCTTGTGCCAGGTAGCCAAGTAGTGAATGCAAAGGAGAAGTTCTTGAAGGAAATTAAAAGTGCTACCACAGTAAACAACACACAAGTGATAAGAAAGCAAAAAAAAAAAAAAACACCAAAAAACAAAAAACAAAAAAACAAAACAAAACAAACAAAAAAAAACCAAACAGTCTAATTGCTGATACAAAGAAGGTTTGCATGATCTGGAGCGATCAAACCAGTCACAACATTCCCTTAACCCAAAGCCTAGTCGAGAGCAAGGCCCTAACGCTCTTTAGTTCTATGAGGGCTAAGAGGTGAGGAAGCTGCAGAAGAAAAAAAGTCTGAAACTAGCAGAGGTTGGTTGGTTCATGAGGTTTAAGGAAGCGGCCGTCTCCATAAGAAGGTGAAGCAGCAGGTGCCAATGGAGCAGCTGCAGCCAGTGACCCAGAAGGTATGGCTGAGACCGCGAATGAAGGTGGCTAAGCAACAGATTTCGAATGTAGGCAAAACAGCCTTATGTTGGAAGAAGAGGCTGTCCTATCTAGGACTTTATAGACAGAAGTCAATGTCTGGCTTCAGAGCTCCAAAAGACAGGCTGACTCGGTTAGGGACCAGTGCAGCTGCTGACTTTAAGTTGAAGCCAGCACTCATTTACCATTCCAAAAATCCTAGGATCCTGAAGAATTATGCTAAATCTTCTGCCTGTGCTCTGTAAATGGAACAACAAAGCCTGGATGACAGCACATCTGTTCACAACACGGTTTACTGAATATTTTAAGGCTACTGTTGACACCTACTGCTCAGAGAAGGCAAAGTATTATTTATTGCTCATTGGCAATGCACCTGGTCATCCAAGGGCTCTGATGGAGATTGACAAAAGTCATGTTTGCATGCCTGCTAACATTCATTCTGCAGCCCACGGATCAAGGAATACTTTTGACTTCCAAGTCTTATTATTTAAGAAATACATTTGGTAAAGCTCTAGTTGCCACAGATTCCTCTGACGGATCTGAGAAAAGTAGATTGAAAACCTTCTGGCAGGATTCACCATCCAAGATGCCATCAAGAACATTTCGTGATTCATGGGAAGAGGTCAAAACGTAAGCATTAACGAGGAGTTTGGAGGCTGGTTCCAGCACTCCTGGATGACGCTGAGGGGTGCGAGACTTCAGCGGAGGAGGGAACTGCTGATGTGGTGCAAACAGCGAGAGAACTGGAAGTGGAGCCTGAAGATGGGACTGACTTGCTGCACTCAGGATAAAACTTGAACGGACGAGGTCTTGCTTCTTATGGATGAGCAAAGAAAGTGTTTTCTTGAAACGGAATCTATTCCTGGTGATGCCAGGAAGACTGTTGAAATGAAAACAAAGGATTTGGAAAATCACATAAACTTAGTTGATAAAACAGCGGCAGCGTTTGAGGGGACAGAGTCCACTTAAAAAATTTTTTTTTCATGTTTATTTTTGAGAGAGAGAGAGAGAGAGAGAGAGAGAGAGAGAGTGCAAGTGGTGGAGGGGGGCAGAGAGAGAGGGAGACACAGAATCCGAAGCAGGCTCCAGGCTCTCTGCTGTCAGCACAGAGCCTGATGCGGGGCTCGAACTCACCGACTACGAGACCATGACCTGAGCCCAAGTCGGACGCTCAACCGACCGAGCCACCCAGGCGCCCGGATTGACTCCACTTTTGAAAAAAGTTCTGCTGTGGGTAATATACTATCAAACAGTATCACATGGTATACAGAAATCATTTATGAAAGGAAGAGTCAATCGATGCGACAAACTTCACTTTTTAAGAAATTGCCCCAGTCAACCTCACTTTCAGCAACCACTACCCTAGTCAGTCAGCAGCCACCGACACTGAGGCATGATCCTCCACCAGCAAGATTACAACTTGCTGAGAAAGTTGTGATGATGGTTAGCATTTGATAGCAATAAGAGATTTTTATATTTTTTAGGGTTTATTTATTTTGAGAGAGAGAGAGAGAGAGAGAGAGAGAGAGAGAGAGAGAGAGAATGAGTAGGGGAGGAGCAGAGAAAGGGAGCCCAGGCAGGCTCCACACTGTCAGTGTCCAGGCTGACACGGGGCTCGATCTCATGAACCTGAGCCAAAATCAAGAGTCAGACACTCAACTGACTGAGCCACCCAGACGCCCCAGCAGCAAGATATTTTTAATTAAGGTATGTAAATTGAATAATGTTATTGTACACTTATTAGGCTACAGTGTAAACATAACTTTTATACACACTGGGAAACCAAAAAATTCACTTGACTCACTTCATTGCAACATTTGCTTTATTGTGGTGCGCAGGAACGGGAACCTGTGACATTGAGGAATGCCCGTACAGATTCTGACCTCTGTGCTTCATCAGCAGACTCAGCCTGGCTTTTCTTCCCAGTTCCTGTCCCACACTCCCCGACTCGACATCCCTTCCTACGTTTCTACTGCAAACCAGTTTCACATTCTAGTAGAGGCAGATAAGTAAAATATTTAGGGTGCCAAATAGTGGAAAAGTCTTCAACAAATGATGCTGGATAACCGGGTATCTACACGTAAAAGAATGAAGTTGGACTCGTTCCTCACACCATACTCAAAAATTAACTCAAAATGGATCAAAAATCTAAATTAAAGAGCTAAAACTGTAAAGCTTATAAGCATAAATCTTTGTGATCTTGGTTAGGTCAATTGAGACACACCCAAGGCACAAACAACTGAAAAAGATACATTGGGCTTCATCAAAATTAAAAATTTTTGTGCTGGGGCCATCTGGGTGGCTTTGGGCATTTAAGCGTCTGACTTCGGCTCAGGTTGTGATCTCACAGTTTGTAGATTTGAGCCCCCCATTGTACTTTCTGCTGTCAGTGCAGAGCCCGCTTCCAATCCTCTAGCTGGGTCAGTTGGAAAAGCATGCGACCTTGATCTTGGGGTCGTAGGTTCAAGCCCCACATTGGGTGTAGGTATTAAATAAGTAAATCTTAACAAAAACAAAAACAAAACTTGTGCTTCAGAAGACACTAAGATGGGAGAAAAATATTTGCAAATTATGATAATGAGGGGCAAGTATCCAGAACATATAAAGAACTCTTATGACTCAATAATAAAAATGAATTCAAAAAGTTAGCAAAGGATTTGAATAGATATTTCTCGAGATATACAAATGGCCAATAAGCACACGGATGTTTAGCATCATTGGTCATTACAGAAATGCAGATAAATTCAAAACTACAAGATATCAGTTCACACCAACTAGGATAACTAGAATTAAAAAGTCAGGTTAACTATCTGTAGTTATGAAGATGTGGAGAAATTTGAATCCTCCGATATGGCTAGTGGGAATGTAACGTGGTGCAGCCACTTTGCAAATTTGGTAGTTACTCAAAAAATTCTATGACCCAGCAATTCCACCCCAGATAAATACCCAAGAATTGAAAACATGTTGATCCAACCTGTACACGAAAGCTCATAGCAGCATTATTCGTAACAAGAATGAAGCGGAAATAACCTAAATGTTCAACTGACGAAATAAACGAACGTGGTGTACCCAACTGTTTGGCAATAAACAGGAATGAAGCAAGATGCACACTGCAACAGGGACAAACCTCAGAACCCACCAAGTTAAACAAGCCAGTCAAGACTACATGTCAGATAGCGCTGTTTAGAGGAAATGTCCAGAGAGGAATCTAGAGACAGAATACTTGTTGCCTAAGGCAGGAATCTTGGGGAAATGGTAAAGGATTCCTAATGGGTATGGAATTTTTTGGGGAGATGAAGTATGTTCCAGAATTCATAGTGGCGATGGTTGCACAACTTTTGAGAATATACTAAAAACTACTAAGCATACACTTTGAAAAGGCGACTCAGGAAAAAAAACCCCACAAAACACTATGGAGTAACTGAAATCAGGGATGGTGTTTTGTACGTTATTTTTTAAAAGCACTTTCACGAGCTCACGATTCGTGAGTTCGAGCCCTGCATCTAGCTGTGCTGACAGCTCGGAGCCTGGAGCCTGCTTCTGATTCTGTCTCCCTCTCTCTGCCCCTCCTCTCTCCAAAATAAACATTTAAAAAAAAAAGTTTGTTTTCAAAGAGCAAGCAGAGGGAGCGGGAAGCCCAAGCAGGCTCCACACTGGCCTCAATCCTGGGATCATGACCTGAGCTGAAATCAAAAGCCTGATGCTCATCAGACTGAGCCACCCACGCATCTTGTACATTATTTTATTTTTTTAAAAAAAAACTTTTTTTTTCAACGTTTATTTATTTTTGGGACAGAGAGAGACAGAGCATGAACGGGCGAGGGGCAGAGAGGGAGACACAGAATCGGAAACAGGCTCCAGGCTCTGAGCCATCAGCCCAGAGCCTGACGCGGGGCTCGAACTCACGGACCGCGAGATGACCTGGCTGAAGTCGGACGCTTAACCGACTGCGCCACCCAGGCGCCCCATCGTACATTATTTTAAATAGGGCTGTCAAAACACTCATTGAGGAGCCAGAATGACCAAATAGCAATTGTTACCACTAAACATTTAAACTCCATTACCAAAAGGGACTTGAAATACACTCTCTAGCTTAGAAATGTGGGGACTATAATGCAGACTAAATCCCGAAATTTAAAATGGCTCATTTGAGAAATCTGTAAGCTTCAAGGGGTAAGGCCCCAGATCTTTATTCCACACAGTAAAGATTGTAGATTCTGTTGCCATGGTTTGGGACAACAAAATGTAATATAGTAACAAAAAAGGTACATTTCAACGCTTTAACTTTGGTGAAGAGTATCCACTGCTTCCATTCCAGATGTCTTTTTAACATGCAGAGTACTCTGCATTTATCAAATGGGAGTTTTACCCGAGATGAGATTATCATCCTCCCACAGCAACGGAGGCATGACATCAATTCACCATTTTCAAAAACAGAGACTAGGTTAAAGATTAAGAATAAAAACTATGAGGGAGGTGGGGGAAAAGGAATAAAGACTATCAGACTCCAGAATCCATATATTTACTTTTTATTGAATTTGTTAATGTTACAGAGTTCTTGCACTGCCAAACCATGCCTGAGAATTCAAAGAAAGAAATGGTACAATGGACAGCCTCACCCACCCATCATACAGTATATTAAAACTTGATTCATGTGCATTTTTATAATTTCACAATCTTTTAAAAAGTTATAACAAGAGTTGGAACTTTATATCTCCCGCAGGTCTTCAGATTTCTAGCGTAGTATGCCATTAAATAAAAGTTGTGCATATTCATCTCAGTTCATTCCTCAATAACGTAACCCCCAACAAAATTTTGCTGGAAAAAAAATGCATACTTTTCAGGGGAAATATGTGGCTCAAGGTCCAAGAGACTATTTGTTAAGATTTTTGGTTCCCAAACGAAGTCTTCAGTTTAACCAAGAATCCCTTGTTTCTTGCTTAATCATCCAACCTCTCCTTGGCTGGCTCAGCTACTCGCCCCAATACACCGGAGGCCAGGCATCCTGCCTGCCGCCTCCAACAACGCCGTTAGGGCCCAGGTGTGGTGGGCAGGTCCTGTCAGGAGATACTGTCAACTCCCAGGAGCTGATTCCTGCACTGACACTTTCATCAGACTAAACTCCCATAGGAGATGCCCCCACACAGGAATAGTTCTACTCGCTCGTTTGCTTCACTCTTGCCAGTAGCAAGTCTGCAACTCCTGCATTTGGCAAAGGGATTTATTATAGAGAAACCCAGACTCTGCATCAAGCAGTCACATACCACTTTGAAGTATTTCTATTGAACCAAAGATACAAAACTAGTAAATTACCAGACTATCTCATTAGATGGAAAGACTTCTCAGTAATCCTGGGTAGCTTCCTGAAGTCCCTTTAAGGACTAAAAATTACTGGATAGTTTAAGCTGTAATTATTAAAAACAGAAGTGCTACATCACCTGTCCCTCTCGCCCCTGACTCTTCAAATGAACACAGATATACCAAAAGGTTGAGAACAGAGCTAAGCTGGCACAGTCATTGCATCTACGGAAGGTCCAATACCTTAACAATTTGGGCACAAGTGTATCTGGAAATCTTGTCAAAGATCACGCAAAATCCGTGAAAACCCAAGTGGGTTTTAGGTGAAGGTTCTGCTCACGTTGCTCTGGATTTATAAGGACAGGTCAGTGGATCACGTGGCCTGAGCAGAGCCCTTACTCTTTCTACTGCAGTTTACTGTACAGTTTAGACCTGATCAGAGGAGGCTTTAGCAGCACCTGAAGGAGAGCCCCCTGCATCCACTGCCCTTTACACCAAAGGCTATTTGGTTCCACTCTAGGGATTGGCAAATTTCACGAGACGTTTCACAATCCTAACGCATATTTCAGGTTACTTATTCAACCAAGCAATATGCTCTGTCAAAGAACTTATTCCAAAAAAAAAAAAAAAAAAAAAAAAAAAAAGGCCTTAATGTGGAACACAGAAAAAGCACTACCCAAATAATAAGAAATCACTAAAAGAAGAAAGATCACTCCCCCCCCACCAACCTCCTTTCCCACTGGGTGGACCCAAGTTTGGTTGAATTTAACTTATGGTTACCCCAGGATACAACTCAAAGTTTAAACTATAAAATCACAGCCCTACTACACAGATTATCTGAACACAGGAGTTCTTTTGAGAGCGGCACGTTCCAGGAAGTCTAATACAGCCCACTACAGAGTATTCCTTAAGGGTGGGGCACAGGACAGGTTAATTAAGGTCACTTAAATCTTCATCTTTTACAGCAGATCAGAACCGAGATGGCTGACTTTCTGCAGGATTTGATAGGAATCCAGGAGAGCTGGTTTCAAGCTTCACACCGACACTTACTAGCTGTAACCTTCGTGTCCAGAAGTTGTGATCCACAAGAAGTCCGCGACGAGTGCAGCAAACCTGAGGTAGTCAGCCCTTACGAAGGCTCAGTATCTGAACATAAAAAGATTTTGAAATGACCACTGGCTGCAGTTTGTTTTTGTACTTGCAGAGTAATAATGAAAGAACACTGCTGAATCTAGTTCACGCATTTATAGAACAATGAGACTCCCCCTACATCCAATACAACACAAAGAGCAGTGTGACACTTATGCTTCCATAGTGCAATAGGGACGGTCACTTATATCGAGTGGTCTGCATCGGCCGCGGGTCCAGCAGAGATCAGATGATGAATGGCTGTTCCTGGTGGTTAGCTGTGGTCTAGTTACCTTAGAAGGGTTAGCAAAGACCATTCCTTAATTGTACTGTGTGTGGCTGCTTTTCTGATTTTCAAGCACAGCATACTGGTTGTCTAGCTGAAGTTTAAGGGCCTGGTTTTTTGAAACCTCATCCCTACCTCTAGTTTTGTGTCTTACTACTTCAAAGCTCTTCTCCATTTCTTTATCCCTAAGGGAAAAGAAATGTAATCAGTAAATATTTCTTTTTTGCTGGGTTGTTGTGTAAACTCTTCCTCAAATTAAAAAAAACCAACCAATCAAAACAAAAACAAAACAACCCCCCCCCCCCAAAAAACAAGTCACCCCTTAGAAGTATCCTGAGGGAGGAATAGGAAGGGAAACTGGCACAGATATCCCCTGCTTCCTGAAAGTTCCTGTTACACCAGATGCTTTTACAGAAGACGTACATTAGGATGGCAACAGCCTTTTCCCGTAACAGTGAACATCTCTCCAGATTTCTTTCAGGTAGCAAAAACGCGCACTAACATAGGTCTTCCTGTAAAAGTGAAGAGTAGTGCAAACTTTCAGAAAGTGAGGGATCCTCTCTGCTTTACGCCATTCTGACTAAGGAATGCTCTGCTTTTGACAGGGGAAAGTTGCACATAAAATCATCATCAAATCATTTTCTAGGCTTCAAAGGAACAGAAAACATGAGTACTGAGGCTCTATGGTGTTGTTTTCTGTGGTGGCAAATCTATTTTGGGACCAACTTGAAGACAACTGGAAAGTCAAAAGGCTATCTAATGACACGGTGATTCCTTCTAAGAGTCACTTTTATTTTTAGCAAACAATAAATAATACCTCTCTTTCTTTATGCATAAGGGCAATGGTTTTCTTATTCAAGTAAAGTTCTACTCATCATTCAATGATTTCTCCTCACTTCTTCCTTATGGGAGTGGGTCAGATAAAGTGGAGGCTTAAATTAGGCTCTCAGAGGCAAAAAAGGCTTGGATTTACTTTAAAAAAGTTACTCCCCGCCCCCCCCCCAACAGTATTTCCATCTAATGTCTTTTACATTTCTTCCCGTTTTATTTACTTTAAAAAATTCATGTCCCTAAAAAAGGTGTGGATGTGCCAAATGTGGTCATTTAACTCCAGGTAGCATTCATTTTAAGTACCTGCTGAAATAAGATTATTTTAATATTAGATTTATAAATGCCAACATCTTTCATCTATTCACATCAACTGGGAATACAATGAAAATACCGCTCTTACATTTCTAGTTTCCATGTTAGAAAGAATTCTAAACTAGGCATGACTTGTCATAGCTACAGAACAACATATAAACCAAGGATAAAGAGACCTGGTCTCTTGGTGCTCTTTCCCCACAGCCCCCTCCAGCCCTCCCCCTTTCCAGCCCTAAGGCATGTAAGTCCTACCCTAATTCTCAGCTGCCTGTCAGCTGTGGCCTGGGCTTTACCTACAAGAGAACGACCCCCCTCCCCCAGCCCAGGTGGGTTCTCCCATCTCCTACATCCCACTCCCTGGCCAAGGGACAGAGCACGCCAAGATAAAAAGGCGAGAGCTGGAGTACTTACTTCCGGCTTTCTACATGCTTGGCAGTGGACTGCAGGGACGGGAACTGTGTGTCACTGTAGATTTCTGGTGGGCCTTGCGGTGTTTTCCTTGTTGTGGTTAACCTGGCTCCAGGGGGCCTATACACACCGCTAGTCATTGCTGGTTCTGGGGTTTCTGTAACTGACATTTCATAACAGGTTAGAGAAACCATTCAAACGCCTGGCATTTTAATAAGCTATTCTCACATTCCCAATCATTTGATAATTACAGAAAAAACAATACCTACATGACAGTCTCTGGAAAACAGAAAGTTACCTGAGAGTCTGAAAGCGGAAATACTCTTATTTTTCTAGGGTAGTCTAATTTTTCTCCCATGTACAATTTTAATTACCTATGTAAATGAGTTCTTTCTAGACTTCAACTTACTGCAAGTGGGAAAGAAATCTGCTGGACCTGGGAGGCAGGCCCAGGAGGGACTGCCTTTCAGAGTATGACCATGTCAGCCCTCAGTATATATATCGGCAATGTGGATAATCACCTCTTTACCTGGTAAATAAGATGCCAGTATAAAGAATTTACTTACTAAAATGCTTGTGTATATATTTTTAATTCTAAAAGACTAGTAAAAAAATATACTCGATACCCTTAATTTCACTGTCATATCATCAATGGATCTTGTTTTATAAAACACAGGAAAAGCAGGAAAAAACTAAACCGCTGAACAGCCTGAAGTCTTCCATGATGGCTAACATTTTGGGGACAGAGCCTTCTGGCTTTTTGCTATGTTATCATTTTTTCTCCCCATTCTCAACATAGATTCAGTATTTTACATGCTGTTCCATTTATCAAAAACTTCCTTTCAAAGAAAAGCCTACATCATTTATTAGCTGCAACATAATGCATAATGCATAAAGGGTTATTGTCTCATATGGCTTTTAAGTAAGCGTGGGAAAGCCATAATATAACACCATTCATTAGTTACTAAGCACCTGCTATGTGTCAGGTACTGTTCGTAGTGGGCATACAAACGTTAAGGACCGGCCTTCGTGAACTGTATATTCTTGGCAACTAGCCACATGCAGCTATTTAAAATGAAAGACTTAAAAATTCAGTTCCTTGGTTGTATCAGTCGCATTTTAAGGACTCAATAGCCGCATATGGCTAGTGGCTACTATAGGGAACAGTGCTATTCCATCACTGCAAAAAGTACTATTGGACAGTGTTATCCCAGAGTAAGGAAATCAAATATGTGAAAATTGGTGCCATACCAAAAATTAAGGTGGCGGAAGGGTCTGTCCAGGGAACACATGATGGGTAGGGACTCAGTGACGAGTGAAAAGTGAACAAGGCCTGAAAGGAGGCCAACATATTGAGTTGGTAAACAAGCCAAATCAGGTCTGACACTGATCTTATAAACGTTTTACTGGAACACAGCTACACTCAATGGGTGTACGTATGGTCTATGGCTGCTTTTGTGCTGTAACAGCAGAGCTGAGTAATTAAAATAGTCTTCTGTATGGCCCTCAAAACCTAAATTACCTACTATCTGGCCCTTTACAGAAAAAGTTTACTTAGAGACTCCCAATATAAAGGAGAGAATTCAGGCTGAAAACATATGCACAAGGGCCTGCAGCAGCAATGTGCCTGGTATGTCCAAGGAACAGAGTGAGCAAGGACCTGACTAAAAGACAAAATCAGAAAAAGAGATCCCAAGACAGGCATCTAAGGTGCTGCAAGTCTGAGAACTTCAGCTTCTATTCTGATTAGAGGGGACACCAATGGAGGCTTGTCAACATCTGAGACACTTTCAGGTCACATTTGAAATGATCACTACACTGGCCACTGGCTGCGTTGGGAACAGTGTACGTAGGGAAGCAGGCCGCCCACTTAATAGGTTACTGCAGTAATTCATATAATGTTGTTTTGGGGTCAACTCTATGTGAAGGGTTCAGTTTTGGATATGTGAATATTGAGGTGCTGGGTACATGGTTAAGATCTATGTGTTTGGAGGTCAGGGGAGATCTGAGTGGATGTGAATTCTGGAGTCACTGGCATGTGGAGATTGCCAGGGGAGTAAGGCCACAGAGAAGAGAGTGGCAAGGGCTGAGCGCTGGGGATGAGTATCACTTAGAGGCAGGGAGGAAGAAGAGACCCCAGCCAAGGAGTCTGAGAGCCAACCACTGAGGAAGCAAGGAGACTGTGGTGTCCTGGAAGTCAATAGAAGAGTGTTTCAAAGGGGTGATGAGCTACAGCAAATGTTGAGGATGGGGAACATCGAATGAGGACAGAGACTGGGAAATGGAGTTTAGCAATGCTGAGGTCATGAGGGATCAGTGACAGATGCAGTAAAACATGTTAAGAGCTCTGCTGTTAGCACAGAACCTGTTTTGGAAACTGTCCCTCCCCGCCCCCCCCCCCTTCTGACCCTCCCTCACATGCCCTCAAAAATAAACACAAAGTTGAATGGAAAAACATAACACAGTAAAGTACTAAAAAGGATGCAAAAATGTTGACACACAGTAGTTATCTGTGATCTCTGGGCAGTTAAGATTTGTTATTCTTTGTATTATTCTGTATAAAAAACGAGTGATAAAATCTGCCCTTGTGAGAATTCATGCTTCAAGACAATAAAATGGGGAGAAAAAAAGAAACACAGGTGGAAACACAGGTAACTCAATTATCCATTAGCCAACTGTCAAAAAGTAAAACAAATGACTTAAATATTTAAATTTGGCAAGTTAGTTTACATATAAATGTAAGAAGCCTACAGAAAAGCACATATCTTAACTTCCAAATTCCTTTCCTAAGGATGTAAAAATCTTTAAACAGACATATACAAACCTCTCCCCCAAGAACAGAAAGGAACCCCTCTCATTCTACCACAGCATTCATTCAGTTGAAAGCTAACCATATGTAAAACCATACCTAGACGTCTTCATGAAAATAAAACATTAAGATTACCAATTACTGCAGCAGGAGGTGCCTGTACCGGAGCGGTTTTATTCCAGGGGCCGGAAGATTTTTCGACACCACCACCACCACCTCCACCTTCTTCCCAATTGTCACCTGGATCTTCTCTTTTTTCATTATCTTCTTCTTCTTTTTCACTATTGGAAAAGCAAATGAGGAAATTCAATTATAAATTTTTTTTTAAATGTTTTATTTCTGAGACAGAGAGAGACAGAGCATGAGTGGGGGAGGGGCAGAGAGAGAGGGAGACACAGAAGCCAAAGCAGGCTCCAGGCTCTGAGCGGTCAGCACAGAGCCGGATGCGGGGCTCGAACTCACAAACCGTGAGATCATGACCTGAGCCGAAGTCAGTCGCTCAACCGACTGAGCCACCCAGGTGCCCCAGGAAATTCAATTATAAAACCACCAGGAAAAGTGTCAATCCAAACCCTTAGTTCTATCAATGCTGATATCCATGTGACCCTTGAAAAGTCTCAACCTCTTCAGAGCCCCAATCCCCCACTTGTTTAGCACTGATGGTAAGCATTATTTTCAGGGATGAAATGATTTTTGGAAGTTGTGTGTCATTGGCTAATTGTTTAGTACATATCACAAAAAACTCTCAAAATTAGAATTCACATTCCAATAGAGAAAACGAATCTGCGTTCAGTATTTACATCACTGCTACAAGACTTTTTAGTGCCAGTCTCTACTGTGTGACACAGGGAATATATCTAGAACTGGTCCCGATCACCAGATATGTCTGTCACCTGTTTAAAAAAGAAGAGAATACAAAAACTCAGTCTTCGGCTTTACTAGTGATTATAAATGTGACACATACATCATGGTAACACACCATCCTAAGACTGTCTGCAGTGGTTTTAATGCCAATTTCTTATTTCTTTATTCTTTATTGGCTGGAGTCAGAAATCAGTGAGTTAACTGTCAAATCTAACTTCCTTTCTGCAGCTATTTGTCCTTGCTGATGCCACCTCTGGCAGACTACCAACCCTTCCATGAATCACGTTCTATGACAATGGTGGTTTTTCCTAGAACTTCAGCCTATCAACCTCCCTCTTCTCTCCTATTGAAAAAACAGGATGTTGCCTAAAGCTGTCCCTGGCCTTCCACGTTTAAGACATGTCTCCCTTTGATATCTAATCAGTGATCATGGCTGTAACAATGTACAGATGACTCCCACCCTACCATGTGACCTTGGGATCATCATGGCCTCTCTTGGCTTCTGCAAAAGGACATCTAAGTGTGCTTTCCTTCCATTTCAAGGGAAGTCCTGGCTATAAGACAACCTTCTTGAATAACTAATGGTCTCCTTTAAAGACACACACAAATAATTTCAAAGACAATGTCCACCAAATTTAGAGGTCTAGGGTGGCAATCAGGAAGGGGTGAGGGGAACAGACGCATCTTCAATCTGCATCTGTAGCACAATTTTACTTGAGACTATAGTTCAAGAGGAAAAAAGAACAGAGAATATGGCCAAGCCACCTTTCAGTTTCCCTTTCTGTTAATATATAATAGAATCCAGTGCTGCTGTTTAAAATGTTAGGCCTATACTAACATGACAGTAATATTCAATTCAATGTCAATTAAACCAAGGACTTACTAAAACAAAATCTATATACCTAATATTAAATAGGAAGTTATTTTAAAAATGATTTTAAATTTATTTATTTTTATTTTTTATTTTGAGAGAGTGTGTGTGCAGCAGAGGGGCAGAGAAAAAGGGAAAGAATCCCAAGCAGGCCCAGCACTGTCAGCTTGGAGCCTGATGTGGGACTCCATCTCATGAACCCTGAGATCATGATCTGAGCGGAAATCAAGGGTTAGATGCCAAACTGACTGAGCCACCCAGGGACCCCTGAATAATTTTTTTTTTTGTAATATTTAAAGAAGTAGCTGGGTACTAGAAAGCGTGATTTTATTTTTGTTCATGCAGCACGTAGTTATGAGCAGATTCTAAAGCCAGACTGCCTGGTTCTGCCACTTACTAGCCAGGAGACTGAGTATAGCACTTAACTTTTGTATGCCTCAGTTTCCACAAATGTAAAATGGGGAGAACAGTAAGATTAAGTGAGTTAACAGACACAAAGCACTGAGAACAGTGCCTGGCATATACTAAGCAGTTAAGTGTTTACTATTACCTGCTTTTTAATATTCATTTGAGCTTTCAAACAAGCAGCACAGATGCCACCGCCTTATTAAGAAACAACTAAGATGGAACAAAACTCAAAATTTCTAAAATCCACAACATGAACATGTTTTTTTTTTTTTTTTTTGGAAAAAAAATGTTCTTTTTAAATGGACTTAAGCTTATTTATTTATTGAGAGAGGGAGAGAGAGAGTGCGTGCACGCACAAGCGTGCGCCGGAGGGGCGGAGAGACAGAATCCCAAGCAGGGTCCACACTGTCAGTGCAGAGCCTGATATAGGGCTCTGACGTGAGATGATGACTTGAGCCAAATCAAGAGTTGGAGACTTAACCAACCGAGCCACCCAGGCACCCCTTAAATGGATTTTTAAAAATAGAAACCAAACACTATAACCTTGTTTTCTAAAGTTTATATGTGGAATGAATGACCAGGTAAGGACAGTAAGGTCCTAACTTATCTAGGAGTCTAACAGTGGTATCCAATCATTAGTACTGTCCACCACTCCCCATTTTTTAAAATTCACTTCTGAACCCACCAGCAATGCAGTTACACTTTAATACTGGTTCATGAGTTAAAAACATACGTGTTATATACCTAGTTACATCAGACTTGTTAGTAATGTTGCAGCATCCCAATCCAGGCTAGACAAGAAGATCCCCACAAAGATTTAAGAACATTCATGGCACTTGTATTGTCATATATACCCTAAGGTATGTTAGCTTTCATTTCAGTTGGTCATCTACATTTTGAAACAGTTAACTCAGCAAAATATGCTGAATCACTATTTTTCAAATACATATACTGGACTCTTAAGACAGACTTTTCTTTAAACTGCTTTTATATTTGGTGATTAATACATCTAAATCCCAGAATTATCAGCTTGTAGTAAACAATTAACTAAAAACCAAAAAATTCTAACACTGATAATCCCTGAGCCGAATGGATTATGGATAATTCTAATACATTTCTTTATGCTGTTATACTTTTCAAATGTCCTTAATGTATAGTTTTTGTAATTCACAATAAAACATTAAATAAAACCCCCAATTTGGTCTGACAGAATACTGAGGGTCCACTGTAAAAGAAGGTTCCTTTACTATCTAGTGTTTATTACCTGTTCACCCTCAGAGACAAGTGAAGAACTGAATCACTAATCTAAAAATCCCATTAAATTATAAACTATTCCTAAGAAATAAGAGTGATTTGTTTAATTCAAAGAATTGTATATCTGTAATAATAAACACAAGACAACTTAATATTTTGGTTTCTTAACATTCTGAAGTATTAGTTAAATGAAACATTGGAAACTGTCTAGTCAGGACCCTTCATCCAACAGAGGGAACTAAGGCCCAGAGATGCTAACAGCCTTGCCAAAATGCCATAGTACTAAGGGCACGGTAGAAATGATTTAAATATCTGATTACTTTTCTGCATTTACACACTCCAGGAAATGTCAAATCTCTAAATACTGTAGTAAGACAAATGTTGCAAAGAATTATTCCCACAGAAGTCAATAGGCTAAAATTGTGTTTGACCCAAATAAAATATACATAGCTTCTCATCAGCTAAAATTCACATTTCCAAACACTACTCTCTGCTACGTGTAAGTATATTATCACAACTTAAAGTATACAGTCTTAAATATGCAAAAGTCCATAAGGCACTGTTGGTCGTAAGGCGGAATGATGATGCTAGCAAAGGGAATATTTACAGAGCATCTAGGAGGCCGGGAAGTGTCCTACCACCTTGCAAAGTTAAACCTCACAATACCACCAAAGCAGGCAGGAGGCTCACTGACACGGAAGGAAACTGACACTTGGACATTAAGTCCCTCCCCCAGAGCTACAAAGTAGGGGAGCCAATCCCTGGGTCTCCAGAGCCCATATTCTTTCATGTTGCCTCTTTCATTTTATCCTCTTTAGAGCTCTAATATCTGACACAGAAATTTTCTCTATGTTGAGAAATTCACTTTCAGGAAGGTTGATCAGGATTATACATCCTGTAGCAGTTTATTAATAAAAATGGAACATTCTTACCTCTTTATCTCAAGGGACATTACAGGAGAATTTATGCATCCCAACGCTAGGATTTTAGTAGCTGTGCTTCTATGAGAATGGTAGGTACCTCCATTGGTTTGACCCTATTATCGAACCACTGTTAGACAACGGCAAAATGACGGACATGCCCGATGAGCTATGCCGGCAGCCTAAAATGGCACTGCACCTCCTCCAAAGACTTTCTCAACCTCTTCACGGCAGACCAAGCGTCTCTCTCCTGTGTTCCACAGCACCCTGCACATCACTGAAATGATCTACTGGTGTTTAGTAGAGCAGGACTTATTTCTTTTTTATTATTGTTTTTTTAATATGAAATTTATTGTCAAATTGGTTTCCATGCAACACCCAGTGCTCATCCCAACAGGTGCCCTCCTCAATGCCCATCACCCACTTCCCCCCCCACCCCCATCAACCCTGTTTATTCTCAGTCTTTAAAAGTCTCTTATGGTTTGCCTCCCTGCCTCTCTAACTGCCCCCTCTCCCTTTCCCCATGGTATTCTGTCAAGTTTCTCAGGATCCACATAAGAATGAAAACATATGGTATCTGTCTTTCTCTGTATGACTTATTTCACTTAGCATAACACTCTCCAGTTCCATCCATGTTGCTACAAAAGGCCATACTTCATTCTTTCTCATTGCCAAGTAGTATTCCATTTTATATATATAAACCACAACTTCTTTATCCATTCATCAGTTGATGGATATTTAGGCTCTTTCCATAATTTGGCTATTGTTGAAAGTGCTGCTGAGCAGGACTTATTTCTACAACCCTGATGTCTGGCACACTTCAGTCACACTAGTATTTGCTACAATTGAATCCAGCTTGGATGCAGGAATGATTTCTTGAAAGAACAACTTAATCAGCTCTACTTAATGGGTTTAAAGGTCTACATCTCTTAAGAAGGTTCCTAAAAACACCCACTGGGCTCCAAGAGCTCAATTCTTTATTTAAAGATGACAAATGCTCAACATTTACTTCAAATATTAAATGAAATCCTTCTTTCTCCCAAAAATCCATTTTAAAGAGAGGAGAGGCCACAGGTCCTACCATCAACCAACAATCTAAGCTCCAGTATTAGGTCCCTTTTTTTTTTTATCACCATCCCAATGGCACCCCTCCAAAGAACTTGTCTACAAACAATGATGACCTTGAATACATCTATTAACTTAGACACAAAATTTGACACAAGCTCTTATAATACTTTAAAAAATTTTTTTAATGTTTGTTTATTTTTAATTTTTTTTTTCAACGTTTATTTATTTTTGGGACAGAGAAGACAGAGCATGAACGGGCGAGGGGCAGAGAGAGAGGGAGACACAGAATCGGAAACAGGCTCCAGGCTCTGAGCCATCAGCCCAGAGCCTGACGCGGGGCTCGAACTCACGGACCGCGAGATCGTGACCTGGCTGAAGTCGGACGCTTAACCGACTGCGCCACCCAGGCGCCCCTAATGTTTGTTTATTTTTGAGAGAGAGAGAGAGAGAGAGAGAGAGAGAGAGACAGAGCATGAGTGGGGGAGGGGCAGAGAGAGAGGGAGACACAGAAGCCAAAGCAGGATCCAGGCTCTGAGCAGTCAGCACAGAGCCCGACGTGGGGCTCAAACTCACAGACCGTGAGATCATAACCTGAGCCGAAGTCGGATGCTCAACCGACTGAGCCACCCAGGCGCTCCAAGCTCTTATAATACTCTTGGTAATTAAATCTTGAGCTAGTTGGTAAATGTGAGACAGGATGTTAGTATGATATGTTTGTTACTACTGAAAATTTCTTTTTAAAAAAGATTTTAAGTAGTCTTGATACCCAACATGGGGCTTGAACTTATGAGATCAAGAGTCGTATGCTCCACCAACTGAGCCAGCCAGGTGCCCCTCAAAAATTTTCTCTCTCAAATGCTCACTTATCTTCAATAAAGGTCCATGAAGGCTAACCTACCTGAGGAGTAGTGTCAAGAACTTTAAGGTGATATGCCATACCTGCAGCGGACTGAAGATAAAGCAAGTAAGGCAAAAATGATCAGTAGATCTAAGCAAAAAATAAATGGGCACTTATTTTACTATTCTTGCAACTTTTCTGAGGTTTCTAATGTTTCAAAGCAAAAAGCTAGATGAAAAAATTTATAAGTCTGAAAATTTCAAGTTACTTAAATTTTTTTTTTAACGTTTATTCATTTTTGAGAGACACAGCACAAGCAGGGGTGGAGAAGAGAGGGAGACACAGAATCCAAAGCAGGCTCCAAGCTGTCATCACAGAGCCTGACGCAGGGCTCGAAATCACAAACTGTGAGATCATGACCTGAGCTGAAAGTCAGATGCTTAACTGACTGAGCCACCCAGGTGCCCCCTCAAGATACTTTACGTCAATTTCCAAAGTTTCATATTCCCTTATCTCATTCTGAGATGGCAAGGCTGCCTCTCAGACAGAAAAAGGTAACAGATTAAAGGCATAAAGAACCACCCACCCCAACTTCTCAGAGAAAAGATATCTCATTTCTCTGCCCCCTTCTAAGGGTTTCTGCCTAAAAAGTAAGACCAAGCTACAGAAGACAGTAACTGGAAGTCGACAGCAGTGTTTAATGCTCTTGAGAGAGGGATTTTTGTTTGTATGGTTATACTAATGCCAACCCGAACATGTAATTTTCTCCTATTAAGTCCACTGTGAACTGACTCACCAAAGTCTATCAGACATGATAATCTTATGCATCTCCACTACCCTCTCCCTCAAATCTTGGTATTATAAACCAGGTACCTCATGGTTAAATAACAGAAATTCTCAACACTGAATCATCCTAATTTACCTACTGAACAGAGATGATTAATGTCACCAAGTGGGTATTTTACAAATACCCTGCTCAAAAATCCTCACAACAATCCTAGCATGTCTCAATTTTGTAGATCACAACCAACATTCAACAACCAACCAGCTTGCCCAAGGTCACACATAAGCGGCAGGCTAAAATGCAAACCCGAGTTTGTCTATCTCCAAAGCCCATGTTTTTGAGACATTATCATCTTCACCCCACTTAACTGAGTAACCTACTTCCATTCCTATGAACCAAACTGTCTTTCCCTGGGGACCCCAACCCAATTGAGTTTCAGTGTCAAGAAAATTTAATACAAAGTTTACAAGGTTTTTCAATATATAAAGTGAAAATATTAGTCATTATTATTAAGCCTCAGATGACAGGACTTCTCACACTCAAGTTTTTCCTGAAGGCTGTTAGATTCCTCTTTATTGAATGATTTATGAAGGGAATGGAAATATAGACTTTAGATTCCACAATGACGGGAGGATCCACAAAAACAGCTTCCTGAAGGTAGGTTTTTCAATGTTAGCAGGTTAGGGGAAGACCTGTGGAGGACCACTTAGGAGAAATGACTACATGCTAAGAATAATGAAAAAACAACATAAAAGCTGGCCTGCTTCAGGTCAAGCAGAACTTTAACACTCATACTAGCCTAGCTGAGATTTACCTGTGCCCCTAGCAAAGGTGAAAGAAATGACTTAAGAACTATTTCATCACCTCTGAAGTAGCCAAAAGTAACTCTGAATATGGGTACGGAATTTAGAGTCAATGACAGAAAAACAGGTAATATCCTCCATAATAAAACAAAATCAGTTTCTTGCATTCAGTGAATTTGAAACCTTTCTCCCTCAGAAAGCGCTACTCTTGCTCAGTAAGTTCACTTACTGTCATCCTTCCTGTCCATTCAAATCTACAGAACGTGCAGTCAAGGGCCTGTGGTCAAGCAAGGCAGACCTAGAGCCTTATTCTACAGCCAAACAGGAACGACATACGCAGGCAGTTCTACAACCCCCCAGTGATTAAGAACTTCACAATACCTCCTCTTCATTTTTACAGGGCAAGCCCTGGGGAAAAGAGGGATATTCTCTCTTCTTAAAAAAAACAAAGTTTATTTAGACAGAGTGAGGGAGCGCACACATGGGGAGTGGCAGAGAAAGAGAGAGAGAATCCCAAGCAGGGTTCTCAAAGGGGCTCAATCTCACAAACCAACCCTGAGATCATGACCTGAGCCGAAATCAAGAGTTAGTTAGTTGCTTAACCAATGGAGCCACCCAGGTGCCCCAAACAGGGATATTTTCTAAACCACACCTCTTCAAAGACATCTAACACACAAATTCAAGAAGTGGCTGGGAATAATCATGTCTATGTAACATTACTACAAAAGAACTTCAAGAGTGGAAAAACCTCATTTCCTAAAAAGTCTCCCACTATCAGTCAGGTTTCACTTTGGTTAAGCTCATGAAATAATGTGAAAGAACCTAGGACATAATGCCTGGCTATGGAAGGAATGCAACAAATGTCAAAAATATGAGTCCTGGTTTCTGAGTCAGTTACTCAAAGCCGTAAATGTCACCATTTAGAGAAGTCAAAAGGCTGTATTCTGGTTAAGGAAAATTACTTCCGTCAGTGTGCCATGTGGTCACTGGTGCCTACAAATAGCAAACTTTAAACTGGAAGCAGTTCATTAGGATCTCATTTATTTCTTTAAACTGAGATTAAAGAGTTTTTATCTCAAAATGGTGGAACCATATATTCACTTGTTTTTTCTACCTTATGAGCCCATTAAAATATGACATTTAGGGGCGCCTGGGTGGCGCAGTCGGTTGAGCGTCCGACTTCAGCCAGGTCACAATCTCGCGGTCCGTGAGTTCGAGCCCCGCGTCAGGCTCTGGGCTGATGGCTCAGAGCCTGGAGCCTGTTTCCGATTCTGTGTCTCCCTCTCTCTCTGCCCCTCCCCCGTTCATGCTCTGTCTCTCTGTCCCAAAAATAAATAAACGTTGAAAAAAAAAAAATATGACATTTATTTACATGAATCTAAAACAAAATACCATAGATTGGACTGAATATGTTAATTTCAAATACTTTAAGGCAACCAACCCAATTTTTAAAAAAGTCCTGTTTTCTTAAACTTTAAAAAAATAACATGCTTGGACTATCCAATGCCATTCCTATAAAATCCTCAGGAAAATTTATCTACAGTGTTAGGATAGCGGTTATTCTTCGGAATGAAGGCAGTGACTAAAAGCACTTAGGTTTCTTCTGTAGCAGCAATGTTTAGTTTCTTGAACTTGCTGTTGATTACACAGGCTGGTTTCATTGTGTGAACACCTAAAATCCGTATTTCTAAGTATGCTTCACCTACAAAAATATATATGAACTTGCTTATTGGACAGGATGTGAAAACCACGCCGTTCAAGCCACCAATATTAAAAGTAAAAATTTTAAAGGCCACAAAGTCCATTTCATTTTAGCTGTCTCAAATAAGTAGGCAAGCTCTCACAGGATTTTGGAGCTGGCAGCTGATTTGATCAGCATATAGAAAGGACCGCCATCAGAGAGAGGAAGACACAATCCTTACAGCCCTAATAAGCGTATCTAAAGCATGAGGTCACTGTGTCTAGCTGCTTTGGGGCTAGAGAAAAACCAAACATACAACACCTATCCTAAGGGTTATCTAAACACAGTTGTAAGCAGACCATACCTTATTTGCATCGCCTGAACTCTGAGGCCGCTGTAATCAACCTCTTTTTGTTCAAATTCTTTCCACTCATCTTCATCCTGTAAAACACACACCATTGGATCAAGCAAAGCTATTTGTTAAAATACAACAAAGGCAAATATCAGACTATGAAAAGGGGATCAAATATCTGGAACCTAAAGTATAGACTCATTTTCTGGCCAAAGCCCTTACTTGATCCCGGGGCCGGAGGGATCGGAGGGAGGCAGGACTGGAGGACAAACTAGGCTGGAGGACAAACGTGCCCAAGCAGTCAAATTTCTTTTACCTCCACCAGTTCCTTCAAGAGAGCGGTTACTTTAAAAGCAACCAGGTAAAGTGGAATGAAAAAGTCAATAGTAACCCCACAACTAAATGTCTACCTCAATGTAGTCATGAGACTTATTCTGTTACAGGCTTAGAGGCCAAGCCCTGCCAGTTCGAGCTGCCACAAATGCGATTGTTAGAAAATTCAGCTCAGACAACTGGGCTAAAGTCGGAACACCAAATTACTCAAGAGTCTCAGAGTAGACGTCACCCGATAAATGCTGCTCTAGGCCAGGCACTTCGGCCCCAGACCCATTTCTCCTCGAGGGTGCCGCTGTCCGGGTCTCGGTCCCAGCCAGCGACACAAGGCGGAGGGGCGAGAGCGGGCTGGGGGCGAGGGGAGAGTCCTGTGGCAAGAGGGGAGCCGGCCTGGCGTGGGAAGCCCCCGTCACATGGCCAGCCCCCGCGCCCGTCCGCCCTCCGGCCGGCCCCTCCCGGACGCTTCCCCGAGCGGGCGGCCGGCGGGGGCGGGCACATGGGCGCAAGCGCGCGGCCCGGCCCCTCATCCCGGCCCCTCACCTTAGTC